CTCTGTGCTCCAAACAAGCTGAAGCTTTAACCATCTATCTCTCCTCCTTACTGTTGTAATTAGAACATAGAACATGCAACTTAGTTTAAACTACCAACTATCACAAAGCTGAGAGAGAAAGGGAGAAGCATGGAATATAAGAAAGATATACAGAAAAGGTAGCCAGAAAGAGGACATTAGGGAAAAGCAGAGAAAAAGAAGAAAAGTGTGTCAGAAAATACACTGCTTGATAGACAGGAAGACTGGGACACTCCAGAAGCAGACTGCTTATATCTGCATGCTTAAAAGTCCTTGCCTAGAAAATCATTCTAAAAGCAAAATATTTGTTCACTTTTTTTCTGAGGCTAATATACAATTTATGGGATATATATCTAACACTCCAAGATAAAAGGAATAGAAATGCAGCTTCCTAAAGAGTACATCTAAATTGACAAAATAAGTATTCTCCCCAAAGATTATAAAAATCACTCCCCTAATACTTGCCCCAAGCTGGCTCCTTCCAACCATATCCACTTCTTGCACTGCTTCCCTAGATAATCCCAGCCACAAAGTTTGAATTTTCCAAATTCATAAGGAAGCCTAAAAGAGTTCATCACATCTCAGGCCCTGAGTCTCTGGGACTTGAATCTCTTCATTTATTTTTCTGTCTAACCACTCCTTTCTGATCAAATTCTTTTATTTTCAAGCAATGTAAATTGTTTTTCCCCAAAACGTATTCCTACATCGGTGTTTCAATTCCTTAAGTGAAGAGAAAGTAATGCCATGTTTCCTAGCTAGGATACCTGACAGAGTGCCAAGGGTACTATCCAGAGACATCTGATGCATCTGCTTGGAGCATCAATTTTTTTTTTTTTTTTTTAAAGATTTTATTTATTCATTTTTTTCCCCCCAAAGCCCCAGTAGATAGTTGTATGTCATAGGTTCACATCCTTCTAGTTGCTGTACGTGGGACTCGGCCTCGCGTTGGACGGAGAAGTGGTGCCTCGGGGCGCTCCCGGGATCCGAACCCGGGCCGCCAGCATCAGAGCGCGCGCACTTAACCGCTAAGCCACGGAGCCGGCCCAATGGAGCATCAATTTTAACTTGAGTAGGGGTAGGAGTGCTAGCTCTAAAACAGATGTAATAGCAACAAATACAAAGATCACCTAAAACTGTAATTAAAAAAAGAGAGACTTGGGGGGCCGGCCCGGTGGTGCAAGCAGTTAACTGCGCGCACTCCGCTGCAGTGGCCCGGGGTTCGCCGGTTCGGATCCCAGGCTCACACCAATGCACCGCTTGTTAAGCCATGCTGTGGTGGCGTCCCATATAAAGTAGAGGAAGATCGCCATGGATGTTAGCCCAGGGCCAGTCTTCTACAGCAAAAAAGAGGAGGATTGGCATTGGATGTTAGCTCAGGGCTGGTTTTCCTCAAAAAAAAACAAGAGAGAGACTTCAAAGAAATTCCATGTTTGCTTGTAGTGGCACAACCCCTATAGTTCTCCACTCTTCTCTAGCTGTTAAGGACACTTCAGTGGAAAGGTTTGACAAACACTAAAGTAAGGGATTGACAGAAGATAAAGGAACATTTACATTCATTAAGTAGACATTTATTGAGAGCTTTGTATGTGCCAGACACTTTGGTAAATACAAGGGATATACAAATGAAAAAGCATAGGTCTCTGCCCTTAAGAAGCCTATTACAATCCTGGCTGAATATTAAAATCTCATGGGACATTTTTTAAAATACTGCTGGTCAGATGCCACCACCCAAAGACTCTGCTTTAGTCTCAGGTTGGGCCCTAATAGCAAGAATTTTTTTTTAAAAGGGTCTCCAGGTGATTCTAATTGGCAGCCAGGGTTGAAAGTCACAGGTTTCACACATGTGGTTAGACTCCTGCTACTTCTGACTAAAACCAGCACTTCTACCCAGGAATAAAGTATGTATAAAGTGCCACTCACGTATAAAAAGAGATTCTTAAAAGAAGTATAAGGCTGTTGTTTAAAAAAAGGAGAAAAAAAGTAAAGAGAAAGAAAGAAAGAGAGAAAAAAAGAGAAGAAGAGAGAGAGAGAAAGAAAGAAAAAAAAAAGAAAGAAATTAATTTAGAGATATTTGATAACAGATTCCTAAAAGCAAGGTCTGAGAAAGCAGCAGGCCAGGCCAGGCAGCAGAAGGTATCCAAACATGCCTCACCTTCTGCCATTTACTTATTCTTCCCTCACCTACCACCCACTTGCACCTGGGATCAGGAATGATATTTAGATAAAATTTAAAAAAAGAAAAACTCTAATGTTGATTAAATTAAAAAGATATTAGCTAAATAAGGATTTTGGAAGAGGCAGATACAGAGAGGTTTGGTTCTAAGTTAATTAGAACAATCCCAGACAAAGAAACAGGAAGTCTTCTCTCAGAAGGTGGAGTTGGCCTTGTGCTTTCCGAAAACCTGGCATCAACGGAGAGATGATCAACTCCTTCAGGCAGGAAATTAGAAGTATTTTGTTTTTCAGGTTTTAAATTTTTGTCAGTGGAAATGGGGGATGAAGGAGCAGTACATATGGAGGGAATAAATGCTGTTATTTCAAAATGAGATTAGCAACAGGCTAAACAGAAGGAGCCTTGGTTAGAAAGAATCACTGTCTATAAGAAAAATCATTCCAATACCAGTAGCAAACCGGATCCTCATGACAAAATAAAGCTTAATTATTTTCTCATTTTTTCATCTCCAGGCCACCAGGAGCATAACCTGATGATCAAGGAAGATAGGAGAAAAAACAGCTAAAGCAAACTCTCAATCTCTAAAAATAAATAAATAAACAAATCACCCACAAAGCAAAACCAAAGGGTAAAAAGTTCCTTAGAGTGACTTCCAAATTATAATAGCTAACATATAATGCCTACTATGTTCCAAGCACAGTTCTAAGCAATTTAATTATATTAACTAACTTAATCATCACATCTACTTTATGAGGTGGGTACTATTATTAGTTCCACTTTACAGATGAAGAAACTGAGGGAGACAGATATGAAGTAGCTTACCAGAGATCATGAGGCTAATAAGTGGCAGAGCTGGGATCTGAACCAGGCAGTCTGCTTCCGAGTCTGAAGCACTTAACCACTAGGTTAGGCTGCCTCATTTATGTGAGAAAACTATTTTCAGGCCATGGTTTTGGTCAAAAGTATTAAAGTTGTAGCTACTTTCTTGATACAATTATAAGAAATCGTTCAAGGAACAATGCTGCACTGCAAATTGTTTTTTAGTTCTTTGTCAAAGTAGTTTATTTCCTAAAAGCAATTCTTGCTATTGTGTTCTTTGCACTTTAGGAATAGGGGAGGTGAGAGGAGCTAAAGCTGAGCTTTTACAAATTTGTTTTACCATCAAGTACCAGCTGCCCTTTGATATCCCTCAATAATACAAACATCTCAATCACCCTGGCTAGAAGAACCACCAAATCCACCAAAATAAGTCATACAGAAAAAGACTTAGAGGAAAAGGTCAGAAAAAGGGTGAATTAAACTCCAAGACTTTCTTTTCTCAAATTCTGCATTTCATCTCACTAGCTAATCCACTAAAGAGTCTGTAAAGACATTCATTTTATGCTTCCAATTTAAAGGTAGAGAAAGGTGATTAGACATCTCAACTCTCTCACAGACACCCCACTAGAAGGTCTGAAATAGGAGCGAGTTGGGAATGAGCAGCAATAGAAAAAAAATGAAATAGGGTCATTTTACCACGAAGTACTTAACTGATAATCTTTACTCTCAATGTAAGTGACAATGCAGAGGGAACAGCTTCTGCCCAAGGATACGACTGGCAGGCACAGACACAAAAAGAGGTAATGGGGCTGACCCAAGACCAGATCCTTTTAAAAGATACACAAACCATGCTGAGCCTGCAACTGCTTCTCAAGTATGTAGCTTCTGACAGTATCTTTGCCCTCATTTACTATGGTCTTCTGCCATCCAGCCCTCCATACCTAGAACTCTTTGCTTCGCTAAGAACTAGATTCTCTTTCATTTACCCTCTTAGTTCTCAAGAACTCCACCAATATTTAAACACAATCAAATAAGAGTCCTTAACTGGAAAATGACTGCCATAGGTCTCTCCATCTCCAGAGAAACTAGTAAATAATCTAGTAACATACAGCAAAGAACACTGCACTAGAAAGATGTTTTATGCTCCTCTCCACCAATCAATAATGTGTGACCCAAGAGCTATAATTAATTTTCCTAGGCTTCCTTTACTTGTGAAATAAAGCTACTCCCTTACTAGCCTTAAGGCCAGCTCATATAATCTCTTAAGATCTTTTTCATACAATTCTTTGATAATTCAACTCAACAAGCATTTGCTTCCCCAAACTCTGCCTCGCACTGGGGAGAGAAAAGGATGAATGAAGCACGCCAGAAAGTCAAAATCCTTACAATTGGCGATAAGGGAAGGCTAAGGAACTATCTGCTTGAGAAACTCTGGTAGTAAGGCATTCTTTACTAGGGCCATTCTAAATCTCTTAGGCCAGCATTCAAAACCTTCCAATACAGCTCCTCCACTCCAGTCAGTTCATTTCCATCTCTATGTTTTTGCTTATGCTGTAATCTTTCTCTAAACCTGTAATGCTTTTCCACCTCTTGCTTGCTTCTCCAAGATCCCAAATCTGAATTCATCTCTTCCACTGGCCTTGTCCCACACCAATCCCTCCCTCAGCTTTCTGTTTATCATGTACTATGTTCCTGCTTCCTAACAACTTCATATCTTCATTTTCCCTTTCGCTCTTTTTTAAGTCTTGGACAGAATTCAGGTTCATCATCAAAGGGATGATTGCTAATGAATAAGCTTCATACAGTTAGGTTTTGGGAAGAGCTTCATTTTTAAGACACTAAGCTGAGGGGCTGCGAAGTTTCAAGAGACTGTGAACACCTGGGCTGGCAGTGGTTTGAGAACAATCTATGGCAGGGGAAGGGAGAGAATAATAACCACCGCACTTCCCAAGAAAGCTGGTCTAGGCACGGCTCTGGTCCCATAAGTTACCTGTTTAGGGTCCTGTATGCACCCTCCACATTCCCTTCCTGTACCATCACAGTCCTGGCAATGAACTTCAGATGTTTTGCCATGACCTTGGATTTAAGTCTTCACTCTGCAGGACCTAAAGGATGATGGAGAGAGGAGGAGGAAAGTATAGAGGCCAGGTAAGAAAGAGAAACACAACAGAATACACACTCTTCCGCGTGGCTTATTCAAGGTCTGGAAACGCAACGTGTTCAGGAACATGAAAGACAGGGGCACGTGGAAGTCCTCACATCCTAAAAAGTACACGCGAATCGTCATCAAGTCTCCCTCGTTCTCTTTGCTAATACAAACCTTACCATAGGGAAGAAAAGGGATAGTAGGAGGCCGTCACCACGGAGATTTACGTGGCCGGGCAAGGGAGGACCGGGACATTCCGCAGGCCCTCCCCCCAATTACCCCTCAAGACCCCAGGGGGGTGTAGAGTGGGAGTTGGGAACCGAGTCTTTCTCGGTCTTCACGAAAAAGGCAACTGCGCGCAACCCTACCCTCCCGCCACAGCCGCCAGCCCTTCCCCACCTGCAGCACAGGTTCCTCACCCCGCGCCCCCAGGACGCAGCCGACGCGGCGCCCGCTAGCGACCGGAAGCGGAAACTACGTAACCTCCAGCGCCGGGCAAAGAAACCCGGGCTGAAAGGAGAAAGCTACGCGGAAACCATGGCAACGTTTTTTTCGGGCCGGGGTTGACGGGCTTTCCATCCCTCAAGCTCCCCATCCCCAGGGCCTGGACTCAACACCTGACGAGGCAAAATACTCCTTGCCTTAAATTCCCCCAAAACAGGTTCCTCGCCATCTCATGGAGTCGTCGTCTTCAGCCTCTGAGAAGGTCAGGCCGACATCATACCCCTTCATCCTGTTAAATCTGTAATAGATATTTAAGCCATTTCTTTTTCTGGAAGGAAAATGAGAGAAATAGGCGAAGTCTCCTGAGCATGCTTCCTGTTCTCTCTTCGCAAAGGACACAGATTCTTTGATATCTGCTCTCCGGATGAAAACAGCTTCACACCCCTTAGTTGCATAAAAACTAAGGAAAAGAAATGAAATGAACATACCGTGAGTTTCCTACGACATCATCTTCCCAGCCGTTTCACTAAATAAAGTGAGGTCACTAAATAATTGGGAAACATCAGCAAGATTTAGAATCGAAGACGCTTTTGTAAGTCGGCTTCTAACCCATTTGCCTCCTCATCAGACCTAGTAGAAATATCTTTTTTATTTCTTCCTCACTGTGGAGACAGCCTTCCTTTTATTTTATTAACATATCCATTTATGGTTATTCACGTAAGTTCAGATCTACTGGCTACTGGAAAACTTTTTGAGTAGGGAAAAGGCTCAAAAGAAAAAAGCAGGTCCCAAGCAGGTGCGTGTAGTAAGGTTCTTTGAGCAGCTCCCCTAAAACACACAGGCACATACACACACACAGATGCATCCTCATCAATTATGCTAATAGAACACACAGAAAAATGAAGCCACCTTCAGAGTAAGCCAGGTTCAAAGTACCAAAATAGAGCTAGACTGGGACACCATTATGCTTATCAGCAAACTTATTGAATGCCTACTCTGTGTTAGGTACCGTTCCAGTGCCTCTTGGACCTCCAGAGGACAGTAGGTAGATATAAAAGATGAACAGTAAAACAAGGTAACATATGATAAATGCAAAATAGATAGGCAACAGCATAATATAATAGAAAAGCACTGGATTAGAAGTCAGGAGATCTAGATTCTATCTAAATTCTGATGCTTATCAAGCATATGACCTTGAACAAGTCACTTAAACCAGGAATCTGCAAACTACTGCCTACAGGTCAAATCCAGCTCTACTCTGTTTTTGTAAAGAAAACTGCTGTGCTCATTTGTTCATATATTAGGTATGGTTGCTTTGAGCTACAATGGCAGAGTTGGATAGTTGCAACAGAGATATGTGGCCCTTGAAGCCTAAAATATTTACTATCTGGCTCTTTCTGACCTCTGGCTTAAACTCTCAGTCTAGTTCCTCATCTGTAAAATGGGACTGATATCTGCCCTCAATCACACAAAATTTGTTATGGGAATCAAATGGGATATAATATAAAAATATTTTGAAAGAAAGGAAAGGGAAAAATAACATTTTTGAGAACCTACTATATACCGAACCTTGTACTAGGTGTTTTATGTACATAATCTCATTTGATAAAGGGTCAAAGACTGAGCCTATATGTCATGTTTAATAGAGAGAATAACTGGGAGACGGACTTGAGTTAGTCATTGAAAGAAGGGTAGGGTTTGGTTAACAGAAGCAGGAAAGGCTGGGCAAGGTGAACAGCATGAACATGAATTTAGAGGCAAAAAGGCTTACAGTGTTCAGGGAAAATAAACTGGAACAGAGGGATCCTGCAGGGGAGCAGAGGGAGAAAGAGAGACCTTGACTAAAGGTTTTGGACTTTTTTTCTCAAAGCACTGGGGAGCCATTGAAGGATTTGAATAGGGAATGACATGCAAAGCACTGTTTTAGGAAAATTAATCTGGTTATCAGTGAGAAGGGATTAGAGGTGAGAGAGGCTATTGCTACCATCAAAGTTTAGACCAGAGAGGTGGCAACAGAGTGGATAGGAAGAAATGAATTTTAAGAGACATTCCAGATACAGAATAAAAAGCATTTGGTGACTGAATGGCACTAAGTTTTAAGCCTAGTTATCTAGAAAAATGATGTTACCATAGATAGCACTAACAGAAGAAAAAGAGACTGCAAAAAGGCAGAACAGGACATCTTTAAAGGAAAGATAATATTTTGATTGGTGAGCACTGGAAAAAGCACCAGACTGGAAACCAAGAGTTGTGTACCGCACATTATGTTGTCTTGCCCAAGCCACCCAAGTTTCCTCATCTATAAAATGAGGATGTAGAATTAGATACAAAAGGTACCTCTTGGCTCTAAAATGCTGAAATTTTCAATAAGTTTTAAGTGTTAGTAATATGTAAATAGAACTGTCCAGCAGAAATTTAGACAATCAGTATGTCAGCACAGGGGAAAGATTGGGACTGAAGATGAGGCTTCGGCAGTCTTCTAAGTTGAGGCAATAATTAAAGCCATGAAAGAAGATAAAAGCTTTAAGTGAAAGAATGTAGTCAGAGAAGAGTCAGGGCCAAGGACAGCCTAGGGGAACACCCACACCACGCTGGAGTGGGCAGACATGGGGCCATTAAGAGATACAGAAGTTGCTGCCAGATAGGTAAGAGGAGAATTAGGATAATGTGCTGTCACGGGATCCAAGGGAGGAGAGTTTCAGTAGGCAGCATCACGAGTGTCAAATGATACAGAGAACATGAAGTACATAGCCTTTTTAAAGGCCCCTGGATCTAGCTATTGATTGGGTGGAAGCCACATTATAATACTCTAATTCTGTGAGATCATTAGTGATTTAGGAAGGTGCAGTAGAGTGATAGCAAGCTAGGCTGCAAGAGGTTAAGGATTGAGTGGTAGGAACTCTTTCAGAAAGAATATGATTAGACTACTCTGTCAAGAATTATGGAGAAAAGACGAGAAAGAGGACAATCAGGCTCAAGAGATGTTTTTAAGAAGGGGGGACCTGATCACACTTGTAGGAGGAATAAATAATTATTACTTGTAGGAGAAAGCAATAAATAACAATTCAATAACAAATTGCAGTTACAAGATAAAGAGGGGATAAGTGATACAGCAAAAGTTCCAGAGGTGGAAGGTGATCAAAAGTACAAATGGAGAGGTTTGCCTTAGAAAGGAGGTCATGTTCTCTGAAATAAGAGGAGACAGTTTTCACTGAGAATAGAGGACTTGAGAAATAGGGGAAAGATGTATAACTAGCTGTGAGAAACATGCTAAGTAGCCAACAAGCAATAACTAAAATGACTGAGTATTCTGATACACTGCAAAGGCTTAGGATGGGGGAGGACATGGTTCTTTTAGAAACTGGGACAAATCAGAGTAATATACAGAGAAGGGTAGATATAGGTAAATTCACAGACTTCATTTTTGCCTCCTGATAACACTGGGTAGTCTTCCTTAGTCTAGTATACATTTAGCAGCTGCAGCTTTTTGCATAAGGCTGAGGTCCAGGGTCTGAGGGGACTCTCCATTCTGACAGTTCTAGGGTGCCCCTTCCTCTTCAAAACTGGCAACCACAGTGCCTGTTCTGGCTCTTGTGTCTCTTTTCAGGCAGTAGTAGATTACAAATGCTGGGCCGGCCCCATGGCGTAGCGCTTAAGTGCCCGGGTTTGGATCCTGGACGCGCACCGACGCACCGATTGTCAGGCCGTGCTGTGGCGGCGTCCCACATAAAGTGAAGGAAGATGGGCACGGATGTTAGCTTGGGGCCAGTCTTCCTCGGCAAAAAGAGGAGGATTGGCATGGATGTTAGCTCAGGGCTTATCTTCCTCACAAAAAAAAAAAAAAGATTACATATGCATTTATCCACAAGCATCAACAGCTCCCATCAAAGCAAAGAGTTATCCCAGAGCAGAAGAACCTGCTAGTCTGGGCCAGCTGGAAGATTACAAGAGGTTGAGACACTAAAGGGAAAGGTACTAGTCGCTGAGCCTGAATGAAAAAACACCCAACTCTGAACCCTGTAACTGTCCCAAGGATATCCGCTAGGACAGCAGCAGAGTCCCTTTTCCTCTCCCCCACAGGACTATATTGTCCCATCCAGACTTCTAACTTGGTGGAGCTCATGTTCACAAACATTCCCATCCCCTTTCTTCTTTTTTGCAGCTCAGGGGATAAATATTGGCATTTGAAGCAGAAAGTTTCAATTTCCCCCAGTCAGAAAACTGTTGAAGTATAAAATTTCTTTAATCAGAAAGGATTTCTCTTCCTTCAACACAAATGCACACATTAAAAATAAAAAAAAATATACAGGTAGACATATATTTATACAAATTATAAACTACAGTCTCAAGTCCTGAATTAGGGGTTGAGAGGATGGACATCAGGAGCAATTGGAGGATGGCTTCTCATCTGCTCTAGGTATCCCATGGTTATCTCTCTGGCCATGGTGGGTAGACCAGGAGAGGACAGGGTACAGCTCCAGTCTGATGGCAGAGTTACTGGCAAACTGTGGCAATGAGGCCCCTCTCCTGATAGTTTCTTAGGATCACAAGGGATGACAGAAGATGCTGTAGTAGGTAGAACTGGAATGGTTGGGGCAGAGTGGGTGAAGGGCTGCACTCCATGCTGGAGGAAAAGGATGACTCCAATGCTGGTTCCAGTGCCTAAAGGATTATGGCTAAAGGAGATGGTACCTGGGGAACTGAGAGGGGGGTTGCAAATTGGAGTGGTGTGGATCCAAGTGAGGTTCATAGCTGGCCATTGAGGGAAGTGCCAAGGCTGCTTTGGTTTCAATACTAGATGTCCTAGCTGTGTCTGGTCCATCTTTTCCATGGGAGGTGCAGGAGAGGAAGCAGCTGGATAACTGTGGTGGCTTGGAAAATGCTAGGGAGGGGGAGAAAAGAGAAAAAAATTATTTGAGAAAGCATTTAGATTAACTCCACCTGGTTGCTTAAACCTTTGTTTTCCTTGGAAACTCCGTTTGCAATGCAAATATACCTTGTTTTATGCAACAGATAATTTCCTCCTAGGCCATGATTAAGGAAAAGTTTTAGTAATCAAATTGTACTTTCATTTATTTAACAAATACTCAAGGACCTACTATGTACCACACACTATATTAGGCACTGGGTATCCAGACATATTCAAAATAAAACAAACAGTCCTACAGGTTCTCACTATAATTCATTTTAGAACTTCTTTTTAAAAGGTCTATTTTTAGGGGCCAGCCCGGTGGCATAATGGTTAAGTTTGCGCGCTCCATTTTGGAGGCCTAGGTTGGCAGGTTCAGATCCTGGGCGCAGACCGTTGCACTGCTTGTCAAGCCATGCTGTGGTGGCGTCCCATATAAAGTAGAGGAAGATGAGCACAGATGTTAGCCCAGGGCAAATCTTCCTCAGCAAAAAGAGGAGGATTGGCATGGGATGTTAGCTCGGGGCTAATCTTCCTCTCACACACACACACACACACACACACACACACACACACACAGTCTATTTTTAATTGGAATCATCGTTTCCCAATTTCTGTATTTTATTTTTATTTATTTATTTTTTTGTGAGGAGATCAGCCCTGTGCTAACATCTGCCAGTCCTCCTCTTTTTTTTTTTTTTTTTTTGCTGAGGAAGACTGGCGCTGGGCTAACATCCGTGCCCATCTTCCTCCACTTTGTATAGGACGCTGCCACAGCATGGCTTGCCAAGCGGTGCGTTGGTGCACGCTGGGGATCCGAACCGGCAAACCCCGGAACGCCGCAGTGGAGCTCACGCACTTAACTGCTTGCGCCACCAGGCCGGCCCCCCAGTTTCTGTATTTTAAATTCTAATTTCCTATGTTGAGTTCCTTAAAAAGTGTAAATTAATATGCAGGCAAGATCCTCCTGCTTATTTTTAAATCAGTTATTCCCACAGCAATAATAACTGTGGTTGACTGAAAACAAGGACTGTCCATTATCTACAGGAGACTTTCCCCTCCCCATCATTTGAGTGCCCCCTAAATACCCCATTATTTGACAGAAAATAGGTCACTTCCACACTAGGTGTAAGAATCTATCCAACACTCCCCCTATGGGTGCCCCATGGGCGCCCTCCTCTCCTCCTAGTGATGTACCTCTTATGACCAGTCCTTGAAACCCACGCTTCCAAGAGGGTTTGGTACAAGGATACTTGGGCAGGAGTAAAAAGAGGGAGAGGGAAAGGATTTTAGAGGCAGCAGAGGAGAAAGGATTTGCAGAGAGAAGCTGAGGAAATCTTCCTGCAGGACTCATTTGGCCAGGTAAAAAGCCTTCTGTATCTATGCAGAAAGCAGATAAGCCGCACCCTGAGGGATAGGGTTAAACTTCAAGGAGTTCTTTGGAATGATTCAAACAAAATAGAATAAAAAACATCTAGGAATCAAGACAATGAAGGAAGATTAGGTACTCCCTTCCCTGAAAAGAGACTTGCTGAAAAGAAGAAAAGACCCAGAAGAAAGTGGAAGAGGGACCCCATTTCTGCATATATACTTCATTTCCTTGGCTATTTTCCCACCTCTTCCTCAGGTTTATAAGTTCTTACCTTGGTCAGCTGGTGTCTGCTACTACCCAATGATGACTTCTGGGCAGCTATATGAGGAAACCAAGTCTTTAACATCCCTTCTACCTGTAGCAGTGTCCCTAGATAACGCTCTCTGTAAAAAAAGACATTTTTTAAAAAAGCCATTAAGTGTGAAAAAAGAAACAAAACAGGATTGGACATATTTCCTTTTTAATGAAACACTGAGGAAAGAACCAGAGAGACTTACCCCATCTGTGGCTTCTGCAAAACACCTACAATACGCTGGATTCTGTCCATTGCCACACTCTGCTGGAAACTGCTCAATCCTGGGGTCAAGGAGAGAGAAAGATCAAGGATTGAGATTCAAGAATTTAGTCAGGTAAAGGAAGAACAGAAGGGGCTTAAAATTGATTCACTTAAAGAAATTAAATCACAGAAGCAAAAAAAGAATAATCCAGGCCCCAAAGATTTAAGAGAAATACTCATTTAAAACATTAAAAGAGAGAGACATGGCTGGCCCCATGGCTTAGCGGTTAAGTGCCTGCACTCCGCTACTGGTGGCCCGGGTTCGGATCCCGGGCGCGCACCGACGCACCGCTTCTCCGGCCATGCTGAGGCCGCATCCCACATACAGCAACTAGAAGGATGTGCAGCTATGACATACAACTATCTACTGGGGCTTTGGGGGAAAAAATAAATAAAAATAAAAAAATTAAAAAAAAAAAAAAGGAGAGAGAGATGAACCTAGCCCAAATGAATTCAGCTAATCAGATAGTTACCTCTTTCAAAGCGACCCATCTTCAGCCCATTCAGTAGGTCTGTGAGAGGGCGTATGAATCCTTGGAGTTCTTTGCACTGCAGGAAAACAAGACAAAGGCTAGAGAAGACTAAGAACTGCCCACACCAGTACTGATTCTTCCTAACTTCCAAATCTGGGAGCCAATACTATCCTCAAAGGGTCCTCACCTCATAAGGCCCTTAGCAAACAGCTGGGTGGTAAGCCACTCCAGTAGTGTCTCCTTTCCCCTGCTTTCTCTTACCTTCTGAGCGAAGAGCAGGTCTCCTTCTGTGGTACAACCCTGGATGTTTAGACTGGTGTCCAATTCACCATCTCTTGGTCTTTTGACCCCAGAGCCTGCCATAGGAGAAGCCAATCCCCGCTGTTCCGAGTGAGATGCTGTATGTTGGTTACTGGAAACCTTGGGTCGTTGCCTGCAGCGGATAGGACCGGGGCTGGGCCGAGAACCTCCCTTCTGCCCAACAGTGTCTGGCCTGGGGCCAAGGGCCCCCTTGTCCTCCCCCTCACTATCAGAGGGGAAGCCAAAGTCACTGTTCACTGGGGAGGTGGAAAAAGAGGAAGAAAGAGAGTAGGAAGAACGGGAAGAAACGCTAGATGGAGAATCCATAGGTTCAGAAGCAGGGGCTGGAGAGCAGCTCCCGGAGTACCCAAAGATCCGAACCTGCAACTGAAGAGCAAAGCAAGGGAGTTTGAAACGAGAATCTGAGGATTAGGAAACGGACTGGGAGACTGGGGTGTACCGTCCAGGGTAGTATCTCTTCTCTCCCTCCCCAATATTACCTGTCTCAGAGACAATAGAAAAAGTCGTCTCCCCCGCCTCCTCCACTCCATTAAGAACCTGGACTGCCTCTCTGACTTCCGCAGAGCAGCTCTTAGCCAGACACGGACTCGGTCTCTTCCTGAGTTTAGAGTAAACTACCTGATTACACCTTCCCCTAGCCCGTTGTTCGCCTGGTCTGTACTCAGTCTGACCCCGCAGCGAGCCTCTCTACCTGAGGTCACGCCACCAGCGAGCAGTACATCTCCAGCACCAGAACCCACCTACTGACTCTGTAGGAACCACCCTCAAAAAGACCTCCCGTCTCTTCCCAATCTTTCTGATCAAAATACCTGCGGACCTTCTCCAACCGCGCTGCCACGTGATGCGATCCCTGCCAATACCAAGATAACCGTTCGATCCCTAAACCCACTCCCTCCGGGTCTGATCCTCCCGCGCAGATCGCTCCCGGTGCTCCGAGTCTCCTCACCTGTGTGGGTCGGCTCAGCCCAGGCTGTCTCCAGCTCCTTCTCAGACTCTCCCAGTCTCGGCTACCCACCTCCGCCTCTCTCCCAGTGGGTCCCGCCCCTTCCCCCCTCCCAGACACGTGCAGCTCGGCACGTGCCCTGCCCCTGCGTACACAGACCTCGCACCCTCATTGGTTGTCTAGCCGGTGGCACGTGACCCTCGGTACTGAATTTCACATCCTATTTGCTACAGCATACAGTGGTTCGGCCAATAGAGAGGCTGTCTGGTGACGATTGGCTGGAAGGGAAGCATTCCGTGCTCCGCCCCTACATGTGGCTTGCGAAGAGAACCCGGTGATGAGAAGAGGAGGAGGAGGATGGAAAAGAGTGGAAAAGAAGCGACGGGAGGAAAAGGGCGGAGCCCGTAGCCTTAAATAGGATGGTGGTGCGCCGGAGACGCGTGGCTGGAGTGTGCAAGCTGGTTGTGTGACCTGAGGCGCGCGTCTCGAGATGTGGGACTTCTGGCTCCTCCTCGGGAGCCGACCTCTCTGCCCCGTCTTTGAGCTCCTCGGCTCACGAGTGCAGCACGTGGAAATCATCAGCGACTTGCATGGGCAACGTGTGTGAGAGAGTGGATGTGTGCCACTGTGCATCCTCTCCCCTTCTCGGCGGCCCAGCCCTTGTGACTCCCCCGTCTCTGTTTCACTCTTCCCTCCTCCTCCTTCTAGAAGTTGGGTGCCTCCTGCCCTGCTGGGTGAGGAGGGTGGGGACTGCCGCCGAGAACACCGCGTTCTCTCCCCGGCTCCCGCTGGGGCGGCTCCTCCAGCCCTTCCCTTACGTAACGTGCCACGCACGTTACCGGCTCAGATGCCAGCCCGCCTCGCCTCTAGAGGTCAAAGCCGAACTCGGTTGTTCCTAACTTTTCTACCCCAGCTCCTTGGGCCCTGCGCCCTGAATTCTGTGACTCGTAGCACAGGAAACGGAGTGGGGATAGGTCCGTGATCTCCTAGGTTATGCCTTTGTCCAGATTCAGTTTCTTCCTTTGTCCCGTGGAGAAGAAACGAAAGGCTCTGAAGGAGGGAGGTGGCAAGTCCGGGGTTTACTATTCGCTGCCCCTTGCAGTATTTAAAATACAGTGTAGAGAAAGGGATAGGGTGTAGGGGCTCAGGAACTGTGGACTGATTGAAGCTGTGACATCGAAGAGACCACAAGGGGGCAGCCCAGTTCTGATTAGAGTCCCGAGGATAGAGAAAAAAATTTTAAATTATGTCCCTGCCTCCCCTAATTACTAACTGGAAAAGGCACATGGGTGGGGGAGGGGGTGGGGGGCGTGTAAGTGGAGGAGGGTGTGAACTTTTAAAATCTATTCTAAGTAGTTTTTGATAGTTTACATATGTTTAACAATGTGCTTATTTTATAAAAAGAAAAAAAGTGTTTTAAATAAGCCTCAACTCTCTTTCCCAAAACATACTGTCTCAACACCATATATAATAAAGCAATAGAATTAGAGGGAATTATGGACTGTGATAAACTTGTTGTCTGTGGGTGCTCTTCTCCATCTTCCCAAAATTTCAGATTTATTCACAGTCCTAATAATTCCCTCTAATTCTATTGTCACCTAACTCCTTTTCTAATCTACCCTTCCAATCCAAGGCAGTGTTTGAAATCGATGATTCAATAAAGGTCAAATCCCACCCCCATATCCTGGTGCTCTCTTTAGTGTTGTGGCTTTAGAACAGACCCTCATGAAGGAGTAAAGAGTAACCAGATTGTTTCGTTTATTTGTTTTATCTTCCAATTTCCTCTTCCCAAATCCCCATCCAAAGAGTCGTAGCAGCCTTCTCTCTCCTAAAAAAGCAAAGAAAGGGGAAAAAAACAAAAGAAAACAGGGTTAGGGGACTCAGGAAATCCCTCCGTGCCCCCACCTCCATGAAAACTCCCCAGATTTCATATTCTGAGCTAGATTTCCCCATGACATCTCCTGGAAGATGTCCCCTCCCCCCCTTCACTCCTTCCTTCCGTTAAAACTCTTCATGCTCCATAGTTGTTTAGAATCTCAACTTAAGTTCCTTCCCTGTAACACAGATTTCTCTTCCCTCCTCATTTCCCCAACCATCTCTCCTCTGCATTGGGGAACCTCTACCCCTCTGCCTCTGAACTTTGCCTCTTGACTGCCAGATTGTAGTGCCCCTCCCATTTTGCCCTCTAGCACCTGCCATGCCTTAAACCACGGTCAGGCTGGAACCAGCTTTAATTCCTCAAGGCAGACTGGAAACCTGGGGAGGTTTCTTTTCCTTTCCACCTGCTTCTGCTCTAGGAGGTCCTGAAATCCTCCCAGTTTAGAAAAAGTAATGACTTCTTATTACAAAAGTCTTTGCCTCAACATCTCCTAAACTTCCTTAATGTTAGATAAGATTTTTCTAAATGTGATCCTTCTTCTTTTAAGCAGCTGAGAATTGACCATGCTAGAAACACTAGCCAGAGATACTGGTAAAAGTTGCTTCACAGACTCCCCCAAGGCCAATGGCTGCACTCTCACCTTCTACATGAAATACATCCCCCCCTGAACGAGGGCCCAGGACAGGAGGAGGGGAACAGGACTCTGCAGACTGGATACAGCATCATTCAGATCTGGACTCTGCTAAAATACAGACATCCCGCCACAGGAGGCCAGTGTCATCCTTCCTACCACCCCTCTCCCCCCCACCTCTGGAAGGAGAGCCATCCCTTTACACCAACCTCTGTCTTCCTTTCCTCTGAGCTCAGAGAAAGATCCAGCCCTCCTCCCCATCACTATAATGAGTCCTTTCCTCTGTGCCTTTCAGCCATTCCTGACCACACAAGGGGAGGCCTGACTCAATTCAATGACATGTATTTTTTATCTGTTATGTGCATGACATTATGCTAATCACTATGCTAGGTGTTACAGGGGGGATATAAATATGATTAAGACGTGGCTCCTGTCCTCAAGGAGTTTACAATCTAAAGGAAGCCTACTATATACTTTACTGTATATTTATATACAGTATTTATCTGTCCTTGTTGTCAATCATCAGCTTTCTATTCCTACTGACTCCTCCCATCTGGGTTCAACTATATTCAGGCTGTGCTTTGGTCCTGTTGCCCTTTCTAGCTATTGCTTCTCTTTGTTCCTTATCAGATTTCTCAAAAGCTTGGTCTATACTTCCCCTCCATTTCTTCACAATGTACTCCCTCTCTAACTGCACAAAATCTAGCTTTTGCTCCAACCATTCAATTAAAACTGCTTTCTTTGGGATTACCAATGACCTCCTTCTCCTTGGCCTCTTTGTAGCTTTTGATTGATTATATTAAACTTTCTTTTCTAGAAGCTATAATGCAAACTTGGCTATCTGCCTAGCTCTCCAATCAATTCTTCTCCATGTCCTTGGCTGATTCCTCTTCCTCCTCCTAACTACAGGCACAGTATTGGCTTTTTGGTCTTCTGTGTATACTGGCTCTACTGAGCTCCTCTACTTTTGCAACTGTGACTTTGCACTTAGAACTCTAGCCCTGGGCCGGCCCTGTGGCTTAGCGGTTAAGTGCACGCGCTCCGCTACTGGCGGCCCGGGGTTCGGATCCCAGGTGTTCACTGAGGCACCGCTTCTCCGGCCATGCTGAGGCCGCATCCCACATATAGCAACTAGAAGGATGTGCAACTATGACATACAACTATCTACTGGGGCTTTGGGGGAAAAAAAGGAGGAGGATTGGCAATAGATGTTAGCTCAGGGCTGATCTTCCTCAAAAAAAAAAAAAAAAGAACTGTAGCCCTGACCTTAGTTCAGCTACCTTTAGGACACCCTCATAGGACTGTTACCATAAATTCACCTTGGCTGATACCAAATTTATAAGTTCACTCCTAAGCCACTCTGACCTCCCACAGTTCCCATTTTGGTCAGCAATTTCCCCAGACATCCATGTTTAAGTTATTTTAACTCTCTCCTCATTTATTGCTCATATGAAATTATCACTGAAGCAAGGCATTTTCTTCAAAATATTTCTTATTTTTCTCCTCTTCATTGAAAATGCCACTTCCCTAGTCCAGGCCTTTAATGGATTGTTTCTGGAATGATGCAAATCTCATGAATCTGTCTGCACTCCATTGCATCCCACATACAACCAGACAAATCCTTTTTCTAAAATACTACTTTCATTGTGTCTTTACCATACTGAAGAACTTACTAGGCTCCTTGTTGCTTATAAGTCCAAACTTCAGCCTGACACTTCAGACGTTCTATAATTTGGCCCTATCTTGCCATATGTGAAATTACCTAGCAAATATTAGAAGCCTTGTAAATTTTATTTTTTTCTTAATTTCCCACTGTTTCTTGCCATGTACCCTCTCCTTCAATCATATCCCATCCACTAAACATGCTATGCTTGTTGTATCCTCCTTGTTTATGCAGCTTTTCCACTCTTGGAATATCTATTCTTCCTTCTAATTGCTTTCATCTTTTCATAAGTTATCTCCAGTCAAAAGCTCACTTATTCTTCAAAGTGTATCTTTAGCACAATCACCTCCTAAAAGTCTTCCAGACAACTCCAACCTTTACTGATCTCTCTCCTTCCACTGCCTAAAGCACTTGTCTATGTCGTATGCTCTCAAATTTATATGGAATTTAACATTGTTACAACCTTTTTCATTTTGTTCTAAATGTTTCATAAGTGTAAACTTGAGTTTTATAAATACTTTGAGGGCAATAACAACATCATAGATTTCTTTTTCATCATCATCAGCCTCTATAACAGCTTTAGGCATAGGTTAAATACACATTAAGTACTACTTCACTGAAATTTAACTGCACTAAATCTCCCCAGTGTTCTGTATACAGGCTTAGTATTAAATCTCAGTGAAAGATAATGGCCAAGCTGAGATGAACACCTCCATTGCAGGAGTCGTTATTTGGTTCCCCCATCCACCGAAGCCAGGTATTCCAGTCCTCCCTCTGCTCCCTATCACCAGCCCTGGGATCTATCCAGGGTAAGGGATGTCTTGTTTCCCTCCCCCCTCATACCCAATCCACTCACTGGTTCCGTTGTCACTGGTTTCACTGTTATAGGCTTCTGATGGTCTGTGTGTTCTGTTTCACGACTAATGGTAGTTTCTGCTGGTTCCTTATCCTTATCCAAGCTGTTCTGCCCTCAGTAGGATTGGGAAACAGAGTTATCATTGCCTCCATCCAACTTCCTCATAGATTCATAGATTCTTTATTTAGAGTTCTTCTCTCCTTCACCCCCCCAACCCTCCCAGCCCCCACCCAAGACTTAAGCTTAGGGATCCTCCCTACCCTATGTTTGCATGGATTATGTACCCATCCCGTCCACTAATTCCCTTAACTCAAGGACTGCCCCCCTCTCTCAGTGTCTTAGCAAACCTACTGAGTTTTGGCTTTATTTTCCTCCCTAGCTGTGGTTAACAAATCTGTTTCCGGCCCACTACCTAGTTTCCTTTCACCTAATTCATTTATATTCCTGCTAATCATTTACATTTCAACATTGCCAAGTTTCTTTTTAACGGTTTCCTATCCTGACCCTCCTAGATGTAGAGATCACTCACCAGCCTGTCCTCTGACTCAAATATGGAGTAATCAACAGTGAAATTTGCACCAAAGTCATCTGGGGAGGAGAAAAATAATCAGTGGTAACAAAGGAGAAAGGTAGTCCTAGATCTAGAAATGAGAAGAGGAAGAAATTACTCAGAACACTTTAACTTGCTCAAGTTGTAAAATTTACTGATAATCTAATTCTAATGAACTTTAATGTTAAAAACCTTTGTGAATGTATATGCATTTATATTTTCAATCTGGTATCCAAAATAATTTACAAATTTGAAAATTTTCAAATTGTTTCAACCAGTTTCCAAAGAATTGAAAATCACTAGCTTGAGAAATAACATCATGAGCCTTGACAGTCTTTGCTCATAGCCAAATTTCTCTCTGTCCCAGTCGCTCCATTGCAAAGGGAAAGGCAAAGTGTCAGACTAAGTATCCCCCACACCTCCCTCCATCCTAAAGGTCAGAGCCTTATACATACTTACCATAATTGGGGGTGATTGTGTAATAATAGACCACCTGATAATAATCATCTTCTTCCAGTCCTTCTTCATCCTCATATTCTTGTCCTGTGGGGACAAGGAGTAGAGGTCAAAGGGCACTTGGAACTCCTTAGCAACAGAAGGACACCTGAAGTTGATCTCAGCTCTATCAGTTTCCTTTCTCTCGGCCTCCCCTCCAAAGGTCCTATTATCTCCCTGCCTCTGCACCTTGAAACTCTTCTCAGTCTTCTGGGCTCCATATCTGTGATGAGGCCTGTTACTCTGTGCCCTTTCAATCCAGGAACCCCCAGAACAGAAAATGAGTCACTTCACTTACTGTAAACCCAAAACAAGAACTAAACCTAAAAAAGATAGGAACCAGAGAGAGACCAGAAATCAGGAACTCCAAATCTACTCTTCCATATTCTCTGGACAGTATTGTGTTTGTGAGAGATCTTCTCTTATCAAGATCTCTCACAAATAAGGAACACACATATCTGCTTAGGCTTTTAGACTTGGGTTTTAGTTTCAGCTTCACAGCTAATATCAGAAAAATCTTGAACAGGCCATTTAACATCTGCTTTCTTAAAATGAGTCAGCTGGACTAAATGACGCTTTGTTAGTTTTTCTTCCTTCCTAGGACTAAAAATATGTGGCTTTGACATGATCGTTAAGAACTCTAGGCCTCCTGCTAAACATTTCCCTAAGCTCCTTGAATGCTCTCCCTTAACAGCATGTGATGACACGAGAAGCTGGAGGAAAAGGAAACAATGAGAGCACCTGGCAGACTGGGAACAAAGGAGGGAAGGAGCCAAGCTGCTTTTGGGACCCTGTCCCTGAAGGCAGCCAGTTTTCCATTATCCTAAAGGCCACCCCCACTCCTATGTCTTTACTAATACAAGGATTTTTCTCCAAGTACCTGGGAAAAAAGATACCCTGTCTTCCCTCACTAGTTTCAGACTGCCCACTTCCAAGAGTCCATCTCTCTCCTTCACTCTCACTTTAGTCCCTCTCATCTTGTTCAACTCCGTGGTGATGGAGAGCTGAATTCACTCTTGTTAGGACCTCCCCGTGTCTGGGGCTCTATCCCCATCAGCCATCTCTGCTTTGACAGGAGTAGGCTTTCCTCCCTCTTTCCTGGCTCTTTCTGGATCTCCCCTCCACTCCCAACACTGGGCTCAAGCACAGATGAGAGAGTGTTATCACTCCCCATCGAACTGCACCTCTCACCCTCTCCTCATTTTCTTTTCTCCCTCCCCATTTATGGTAGAAGACCTGGCCCAAAAGCTCAGGGAGAGAAGTGAACTTACCCAGGATAAGCGGCACAGCAAGGATGGCTACAAAGAAGACATTCATTCTGGATTCTGCACTATTGTCGTGAAAGTGAAAAAGGAAATTACAGCGTTTCCCACCAAACTTAACCCCGCCTCCTGCCCTCCTCCAAAGCAGGGAGGGAGCTGCAGCAACTCTTCTCTCAGGGGGTGCAATTCCCTGACCACTTGCTGACTGACTAGATCATCAGTTACTACCCATCCAGTCCTCGGCCAGAGCTGCCCAGATTAAGAGAGGCAAAGTGGGTTCTGATGTGAACACGTTCATTGAGCTCCCCCAGTCCTAGATTAGATCCATTCAGGATTCCTGCTGCCACTACCAAAAAAACAAACAACTCTCCCCCACCAAAACCCTAGCCTAGAAAGGAGCTTCCCCTCTCCCCTCCTTTCCTTCCTTCTCTCTCAGGCCTCACAAAAGGCTCACCCTCCCTCTCACTGTCCCTAATTTACCATCACCATTCAGAGTTGCCCTTCTCTCTGGGGCTTAATCTCAATCTTTCTTCAAAGTCAAAATGTTCTGAGGAAGGGATGAGCCTTTTTCTAGACTGAAAATAGTCCCTCCCCTCTGCCTATCTTGGACTACAAAGTATGGGAGCAATATTAACATCATTGTCTGATTCTCAAAGCACCTGCTAACCTCTCAGCCAAGGCCAGTTATTTCTTCCCTGGTAAGTACTGACCTCACCTCACTTCTTTCTCAACTTTCTGGACACAGGATGGAGGAAGAGAGGAAGCCGATAGTCCCTTTCCCTTCTGTAGATGCCACACCCCTTCTGGTACTTTCAGTCTCTTGGTGTGTTCCCTTCATTACAGCCTACAGGGGTAGAGTTCATCTATCCTTCTCTCTCTGCTTTTATATTTCCCACTTTCATTCAATTCAATTCAGAAACATTTAGTAACATATTCTAGTCAGTGTGCTGGGCCTAGTTTGATAGGCAGTTCAGGGTACACACGCAAGGGAATAAGAAAAGAATACGGTTACTTTTTTTTAAAAAGGGGTTAATAAATATCTATTCAACATCTACTATGAGCCAGGCAGGCACTATGCAAACCTCAGTGGAACCATGAATGAATGAGACAGTCAGAAGATGCTGTGGTAACAGCCCAAAGGAGAGATGAGAAGAGTTGTCTTAACCCTTTCTCTTTCCCTGATTCAGCCTTCTACACTCAGAAGCAAGACACGCTGGAGTCTTGAGCAGTGGCCAGGATGCTCCCACCCTCTGGACCTTATTGGGGGAGGATTTGCTTGGCGACTTTCCATGTAAATCTATACAATCTATTCCTTCAACTCCTTTCCAGAATTTCCTGGAAAAAATGTAAAACACTTATGTGGATGTACATATATGCATTAAACCATAAATCACTTTAGGAAGGAAAGAGGAAAGGAAGCCTGGTTCTCTTTGAACAATTTTATGGTTTTTGGTACTTGGATTACTCTCTCAAAAACAATATTCCAGATTCCCTCACTTTCCCATTCTGGTACTGTTTTGCCTAAACATTCTCCCTAAAGGCTAACCCCACCCCCATCCAAAATCGGTTACAATACCCTCCTCTCCTACTTTAACTTTCTGTCACTCTAATACAAAACCCTTACCGCTTCCCCCAGCCTGAGGAACAGACACCACTGAGGTTCATTTTCAGAAAATAGAGGGAGTATGACATAAAAGAACTGAGTGACTGGGGTGGGGAGGCGTGTCATTTTCCTTCAACCCCATCTGTCTAATTGCTTTTTACAAACAATTTTAACTCTGAATCCCCCCTAACCTCCTTCCTAACATTGCTCTCCAGGCTCCTTTTGCTTCTGATTCTCTTGTCATTACAGATGAAGGCTTCATTAGCGATACTGTATTGCATGTTTCCTATACTAGCCTCTTCAAAGAGCTCCTACTTTTAAGTCTAACCTTCATCTCTTAGTCAGTAGCTCTAGACTATTTCCTCTCATTCAAGTAAGAACAATACCCGTCCCTATCTCCCCGCACCCCTTATCCTGTGCTTTCTTTGTATTTGTCCCTTAGGTTCCAACAGGATCTTCCCCTCTCTGCAGCTCTTTAAGAAGAGATAGGATTGCTACCACCCTTTCCCACAAAATAACGAAAGGAAATCGCGGCAAAGGCCCAGCTGAACCCAGGAGCCCGTGCCCCGCCCCAGTCCCGGCCCACTCCCTTTAACCGGCTCCAGCCACTCCCAAGACCGAGATCGAGGGCTCAACAGGCCAGGAGGACTACAACTCCCAGCGGGTTGTGCAGCCACGCCCCCGCCTCCGCAGCTCCGCCCCCGCCGATTCTCCATTGGCCTTCGGGGGGTGGGGATTAAATGGGAGGTGGCCAAGGGGCTGCGGCCGAGATTTGTCCCCTCCTCGGCTTCCGTAGAGGAAGTCGCGCGGACCTAAATCTGGGGTTTTGGTTCCCCCCACCCCTTCCCTGGGGTCCGGGGGTGACATTGCACCGCGCCCCTCACGGGGTCGCGTCGCCACCCCACGCGCACTCCCTAGCTGGCGTGCTCCTCCCATTCGTCTTTCTTGGCCAGGCCTCCAGCCCGCCCCCAGCTGCCCAGCCATGGGAGCCGCAGTGTTTTTCGGATGCACTTTCGTCGCTTTCGGCCCGGCCTTTGCGCTTTTCTTGATCACTGTGGCTGGAGACCCGCTTCGCGTCATCATCTTGGTTGCCGGGTGAGTAGGGGGTCGGGGAGACGCGGGGGGCACCGAAGAGAGAGGTCCGGCAAGGGCTGGAGGAACTGGGGCGAACCCGGGAGCCTCAGTCGGGGGAGACAAATGGGAGGTGAAAATTGGAAAGGGTCGAGTCAGGGCTTTGGATGATTTGCCCTCTCCCGCAGTTGGTTTCCGCCTTCCAGGGATCGCATAGATTCCTCCTATACTCCTCCCGGCGACGTCAGAGGAGGCCCAAGGTCAGACTCGTGAGGGGGCTGTGCTGACCTCGGCCCGCCCTAAGGGAGGTTCCAGGAATGGATACCTCGCCCTTCTGTGCTCGTACACTCTGGCTCTCATCGCTCTGAAGATTCTTTAATCAGATTTCTACCCCTTCCCCCGCGTCCAGATCCCTACAGACTTTCTTGGTGGAGACACCTATCCTGTCTCCGCCCTGTCTCCCTGACCATCCGGAAGTCTGACTTCCACTTTCCATGCTGCAGCTTTAGTTGGTTCCCCTCCTTGATTTCTCTGGCTGCCCCTTCCCTTGCCTGTCTGATTGCCCTTGTGTTTCCTCAGGGCATTTTTCTGGCTGGTCTCCCTGCTCTTGGCTTCTGTGGTCTGGTTCATCTTGGTCCATGTGACCGACCGATCAGATGCCCGGCTCCAGTATGGCCTCCTGATTTTTGGTGCTGCAGTCTCTGTCCTTCTACAGGAGGTGTTCCGCTTTGCCTACTACAAGCTGCTTAAGTAAGAAGATGGGATGGCCTGGAGGGGAGAAGGGCAGAGGATTGCACTATGAGAAATGGGACAGCCCCTGGGTGGTGGTTTGGAAGAGGAGGCACTAAGGGAGAACATTAGAGGGAAAGGAGCATTTCTGCCTTCCCTCATGTTTCCCCCACCCCATCCCATCCCAACCCACCCCAGGAAGGCAGATGAGGGGTTAGCATCGCTGAGTGAGGACGGAAGATCACCCATCTCCATTCGCCAGATGGCCTATGGTGAGCCAAGGGAGAGGGACTGGAGGAGGGAGTTGGACACCCCCACCCCCCTCCCAGGGAAGTCTCTAGACATCCACATGTTCTAAGTGGCTTCTTGTTTTCCTTTCCTGACTCCCAAGGAGAAGTGGTGTGGAGGGAGACTAGGTGTGGGGGAATTGTGACTGGGCATGGGGAGGGATCACTGGTAATGAGGCTATAGTGATCTCTGACATTGATGAGACCCTCCCTCCCCCCAGTTTCTGGTCTTTCCTTCGGTATCATCAGTGGTGTCTTCTCTGTTATCAATATTTTGGCCGATGCACTTGGGCCAGGTGTGGTTGGGATCCATGGAGACTCACCCTATTACTTCCTGACTTCAGGTAAGTTCCATTTTCTATCTTGCCTTCATGCCCCATCCATCCATGGCCCTGATCTGATTTATTGGCCCTCCCTGGGAGACTTCTTTGGCTCAACATCTCAGGAGGCTGGGAGAAGATGAGGGATGTATCTCATCCCCATCTCCCTCCCTGCAGCCTTTCTGACAGCAGCCATTATCCTGCTCCATACCTTTTGGGGAGTTGTGTTCTTTGATGCCTGTGAGAGGAGACGGTACTGGGCTTTGGGCCTGGTGGTTGGGAGTCACCTACTGACATCAGGACTGGTGAGTTGGGGACACCAGGGGCCTGAGTTAGAGAGAAAAGAATTTAATGGTGAGTGGGATGGAGGGGAAATATATCCTCACTTCTTAACATCTTAGAACTTACCTTGGGAGGAGGCAGAAAGGTGAGTCTTTAGAAGTCTCTCACCTCAGCATCAATTGTATGACCTGCTCTGAGGCTGCCTTGGGGAGGAGTTTGTAATGTAGATGGCCTGAGGTGAGCAGGAGTGGCAGAAACCTCTTAGGGAGCTGAAAATCAAAAGTCTCCTTAATCACAAGATGTTGGTGCTCCGAAAGGAAGGACTGGGGGATTTGAGTGAGATATTTGGGGGAGATTTGGGTCAAAGGCACAATGAGAATATGGGGATTAGGCAGAGGGAGAATCTAACTTCTATTTTACTCTTATTCCCATCCCCAGACATTCCTGAACCCCTGGTACGAGGCCAGCCTGCTGCCCATCTATGCAGTCACTGTTTCCATGGGGCTCTGGGCTTTCATCACAGCTGGAGGGTCCCTCCGAAGTATCCAGCGCAGCCTCTCGTGTAAGGACTGACTACCTGGACTGATCGCCTGACAGATCCCACCTGCCTGCCCACTGCCCATGACTGAGCCCAGCCCTAGTCCGGGTCCATTGCCCACCATTCTCTGTCTCCTTCTCGTCGGTCTGTCCCACCACCTTCAGGGTTTTGCTTTGTCCACCCGTGACCTTTAGTCTCTAGGCTTTACTAGGAGCAGCCTGGGTTCAGCCAGTCAGTGACTGGTGGGTTTGAATCTGCACTTATCCCCACCACCTGGGGACTCCCTTGTTGTGCAGGACTCCCCATGTGTCAGTGCTCTGCTCTCACCCTGCCCAAGACTCACCCCCCTTCCCCTCTGCAGGCCGACGGCAGGAGGACAGTCGGGTGATGGTGTATTCTGCCCTGCGCATCCCACCCGAGGACTGAGGGACCCTGGGGGGGACCCCTGGGCCTGGGGTGCCCTCCTGATCTCCTCGCCCTGTATTTCTCCATCTCCAGTTCTGGACAGTGCAGGTTGCCAAGAAAAGGGACCTAGCTTAGCCATTGCCGTGGAGATGAAATTAATGGAGGCTCAAGGGTAGACGAGCTCTGAGTTTCCCAGTACCCTCTCCCCCGATTGGACCTCTTGGTCTTTTACTCAGGTCTGAGGGAAGCCATTTTTGGTGTGATAGAGACCCCAAACTGCCTTTTTCTTTGCGGGGGGGGAGGAGGTATGTTGGAATTCTTCTCCTAACCTCCTTGGACTATATTTTCCCTCCTCAAATTGCTTCTCATGGCTGGGCTCATATCTATCCACCTTTCCACTTGGTCCCAGGCCTTGGGGGAAAGGAAGGAAGTGCATGTTTGGGAACTGGTATTACTGGAACTAAAGTTTTAACCTCCTTGACCACCAGCATCCCTCCTCTCCCCAAGGTGAAGTGGAGGGTGCTGTGGTGAGTTGGCCCACTCCAGAGCTGCATTGCCCTTGGAGGAGTCAGACTACCATGACATTGCAGGGAAGGAGGGCAGATTTTTTCTAGTTTTTAATTAGGGTGTGTGGGGGGCGGGGAGGTTTTCTATAAACTGTATCATTTTCTGCTGAGGATGGCATGACCCATCCTTTTAATCAAGGTGATTGTGATTTTGACTAATAAAAAGGACTTTATAATTATGGGGGAACTTGGCTTTTAAGGGAGGGGATAACATGCTAATTTGCCCTCTCACATCTCTTGTCCAACCTCCTTCCTAACCTGGTAACCTCTGATCCCCTCCAAGCATAGCTTTGGAGCAAGGGCAGAAATCTGGGCTGGTGGTCTAACATGTCAGAAACTTTCGGTTAAGCATTGTCCAGAAGTGGATCTCCCCTTCTAGAATTGGGGTACCAGTGGTTATTCACCCGTACTTCTTTTTCCCTATCCTTTGCCCACTTCTGCCACCTAAGGGTTAAGGAACTCTCCTACTCAAGAGCCCCAAAGAGAAGGCCAGAGGTGGGGTCAGAAACTTTAATTTCCAAATATATTGAGCAAAAAAATATAACCCCAACAACAGCAGCCCTTTTTCCTAAAAGGAGATCCTGCACTATATCTAAGGAAAGGGACATAAAGGTAAGGGAGTGGGGGACTTTGGGGCACCTCCCCAGCTTCCCCTACAATTTAACTTGCTCTCTGCTTTGTCAATTTAGGGATTGTCTGATGTCCTCCTATATGTTTTGAGAGGCTGAAGACTCTGCTGTTCTTCCTTGAGTGAGAGCCTGTCCATGCCTCTCTGTAGGGGCTGTCCAGAGGAAGGGGGGGTATCTCCCTACTACTCCTATAGTATTTTCTGGCCAATCTGTGCACCCCATTTTAGAAGCTCCCTGATAGGCATGAGAGGAAGGCATCCATGGTGTCCAAGAGGGAGTCTATGTCTCGGTGGCTCGTGCTGAGGTGAAGACCACACTTTTCCGGCTTCCCAGTCTCTTCTTCCTGGATGGGGGAATGGTTCATGGAAATGACTACTGTCCTAGATGAAACAGATTAGAGGTGGAATAGGAGAATGCTTTTCAGTGGAAAAGGAAGGACTGGAAGAATAGAAAGTAGGACCTCACCGAATCTTTCTAGCAATGAAATAAACAGCCAGCAGAAGGCAGAGACAGCCAACCAAGATTCCTACTCCTAGACTCAGCATTTCACCTGGGAGAGATGAAGATGGAAGGTGTCAGGCTAGGACTAACAGAGATACCGAGCCTTTCCCTCACTCGCTGAGGAGTCCCCCACCCCAAACCTGGGTGGAGCTGTCTTACCTGTGGTATACAAGGATCCTACAGTAAGGGAAGAAAACTTGGGTCAGTGGGACTTCAGATCACCATTCCAGCTGGGAGCAGCACACTGTGCTTCTATGCCTGGGGAAATCACCTGGGTACTCGGGGTTGGGGGATGGTTCCCAGTCCAAGCAAGTCCTGGAAACCCCTTCCCCTCTTAGCCGCCTTTTCCCTCCCAGGGGCTCTCTAGTTGCTGCCATTGAGTCCCCCAGTTTCCCATCTCCTTTTCCCAGCCCTGTACAGTCACCTTGGATGAAAGAGGCAAAGACCGTTCGCTGATTGAGAGGCTGGGGTGCTCGGTAGTTTTGTACCAGGAGCTCAGGGGGCTCCCCTTCTGTGGAGAACAGTGTCTCCTGAAGCTTTTCCAGCTGAGGAGTAAGAGAGTGGGATTGGGGGGGAAGTGTCACTCATGTGGGGGAGTGGAAAAGGGTCTCTGCTGCCACAACACTCCACCACTTACCTGTTCCCTCGAAATCTGGGCCCTTCGATTGAAGACTGTCCAGAGCACACTCTGGTAGCAGGGGGGTGTGGTGAGTGAGCCATTGTAACGGAAGAACTGCCCCAGCTGTGGGGGAAGCAGCTCTCCCACGTTGAAGGGAGGCATGGAGGTCTTCTCATCTGGGAGAGAACAGACGAGGACTTGTCTTCCTCTCACTGCAACCTAGCTCACCTAGACAGGGCTCCCAGAAGTGAAACCCCCTGGCCCCTAACTCACTGCTTCATCCCAGGCCTCTCGCGCCTTTTTGGGGAAATTTAATCCCTGAAATCTAATCTTATTTTGTCCTTAGATTTTTAGGGCTCACCTTTATGCCTGATTTCATGCAAGTGACTCAGAATGTGTTCATAAGCTGGATTCTTAGCCTCACCCACCTGGAAGGGGAGGAAAGGGAGAGAGTTTGGAATGAATCCATGTTTGAAGTAAGACATTCCTGTATAGAATAAATGATCAGAGTGGGTTGCTGACTTGCCTTGGGAGGGAGACCAGCAACAGACACGGACAGAATAGGGCTGAGGGATACAGAGGGAGTGGAGAGAGACCTGGGAGGGATTGGGGGCCACTGACCTCAATGAGGATGCCCAAGACAGCCAGGCCCTGAGGCCTCTGAGCAGCTTCACTCAAGCTATCATAGGAATCAGAATCATAATGTACGATGTGGAGCTGAGGGAGGGGAGAGGAAATTGAATCATTTAATGTTTCTCCACTACCCCCTCCCAAAGGCTTTGACTCCAGCCACTGCCACCACCTCCAGCATGAAATCTGTCCCATAAAGGTTGGCCTTATCCCCCAAGTAGGGACTTTTCCCAGTTTCCAGATCCTTCCTTTCCCCAGTACCGACCATGCCTGTCACTGTTGCCTCGTCCAAGCTTTGCTCCCTGATACCTCTGCAGCTGTGGCTTCGCTGTTGATCTGGTGCTCTGACCCCCCTGGGGCTCCTTTCTGACCCCAGTGCAGATGGAGCTGGGCAGCTACATATTTTTGAGGAAGTCCCTCCAGATACAGGGTAGGGGGCAGAGAGAGTTGCACTGAGAGGAAAAGAGAGCAAGCTAGGGTTGGTGGAGGAATGTGGGTACATTCCCACCCCTGAATTGCCACCACTTCTTGGGAGACTCAGCCAGCCTTTTCTCTCTCCCTCCCCTAATAGCACCCAGTTCTTCCCAGAGGTCACTACTTTTCTAGCACATCTCCCTCTTTCTCAGTGAAGATCAAGTTGATGCTATAATACTAGTCCACCCATAGAGAGCTTGATCATAGACTTTCAATTCCCATTTTTGGCTACCGGAGCCTCATCCCCATTCTCACATCTTCATATTTATGGATGAAGTCTTCTGAGAATTCAGAAATTAGGAGAATGCTTCTTTCCCCTGGTGCCTAAGATTGGAACTGGAGCCTACACCTCCTTGGAGCCTGGGCTTTTTACCTGTGTGGCCATTATTGTGCAGGTCCAAAGGCTCGGTACCAGGCTGGTCATATCCGTGGGGCTGCAGAGCAGGCAACTCAGGGTCAAAAGTCACACTGTCCGTCTGAATATTTATGGGGGACTGGGCATTGCTTCCACACTCAGGGTAAGAGGCTGGCCATTGGTCTTGACCATGTGGGCCTGGGGGTGGTTACCATGGACATTTGTTCTCCCCTTTAGCCCCAGCCACACTTGAGCAACACCCAACCAAGTGATACATCTGTGTGGAGGTGGAAATGCTCTTCCCTCCACCCCAGGTGACAACCCCAGTTGTGCAAGGCTGGGTGGGGTAGGAGTCCCTGCTGGACTTGCTGCTGCAGTTCCCTTCACCTCACCAGAGGCAGTGATGATTCCCCAGCTCTCCTGATACGTGGGGATTAATGGCTTTACTTACCTGTAGTTTGAGGACAAGAAAGCTGAATGAGAAGAAGAGGGGTGGATAGAAAGCCTGCATACCCAGAGAGGTGCGATTAGAGTAGAGCAGGACAACTGGGAATAAAATGACCCAGGAGAGGGAGGGTCTCTGTGGGCCCCTAGCAAGTAGACTTGGGATTCAGATCTGTTGACATGTCGTCATTCACGTCTTGCTCTCACACTGGACCTTGCATTGACTCTGGAATTCGGTTATTAATCAAGAGTTCAAAGGAATTGAGTTGCACCTCCACTAGGGTCACAAACTATCCTGCCAGCCTCTTCCTCACCCCTGACCTCAAGCTCTGTCCCAGTGCCAGATGCGGGTTGGGGGGTAGGATCGATTAGGATAGAAAGTGAGCCAGGAGAAGAATTGGCAGCTAAGCTAAGGGTTCCTTTCCCCATGCAGTTTTCTTTCCACTCCAGCTCCCTCGCTTCCACATGGATTGACTGAGGACATAACTGACTTTTCTGCTGAATCAGGAAGTGTGGGATTTGATAGTTAGAACAGGGTCTAGGGGTCATATATGCAAAACCTAGGGCAAGGGGAGATGGGGAAGGGAGGAGCTAGGGTGAGAAGCTAAAGGAAACCCCCCCATCCACACGGCATAAGTCTTCCTGCCAGGTGAAGAGGTCCCCGTGTGAAAGGGGTGTCGGTAGGCTTTGGGTTCTGCTCTTACCCTCATAGGTCCAGTGTTGACCTGCAAGGCAGAGTACTTTGAGTTACAGCCAGCACAGCCTGGGGCAGGGCCCTCCTGCACTCTCCCCTCCCTTGGGCACTCTGGGCCGCTCCACCTCACTCTCTGCTCTTTCTCCTCCCTCCACTCCAGCACTTCCCAGAGGAAGGTCTGAAACTGGACACCTCGGTGGAAAGGTCGGGGGGCCTATTTAAAATCACCAGCCAGGCTGTGCTTGTGTTTGCTGAGTAAAGGGGGAGGAGAAATGAAAAGAGATAAAGCCCAGAGACTAAAATTAACCTGGATCCAAATGTGCAGTCTGCCCAACCGTCACTTTTCTCTAGCTTGGGCCAATCCAATCTAACATTTAGAAGATTGGCGTGAGGTGAGGGTGTGGGCAGAGGGTTTGGAGGGAAGGGACTAGAACAAGGGGAGGGGAAAGAAGTTTAGAGTAGGGAACCGTGCTATTGAAGGGAGAAGAGCCATTATTCCTTTGCTTTGAAGCGTTGCAGAATCTGGACACTGAGCTCTAAATTCACATTTAAGTTCCTTCTTCTGGTCCCAGTAGCTCTAAAGGAAACTTTCCCCATCACCAGGAGCCTCTGCTCCCTAGATGCCCAGTTGGCTAGGGAAGGCAGGAGTCAGGGCAGGGTCCACTCTACGTTGAGGGTGGTAGGTGGGCACAGGCAGTCGGGCTGGCAGGGACAGGATGAAAGTGAAGCATTGTGTGCGGAAAAGAGAGCTGCCAGGTGGGTCACATGCCAGGCTCTCGTGCAGAGGCCGGGGGTCTGCTGGTCCAGACCTCATCCAGGGCCAAACTGCTTCAAGGGAAGAGAGGCCTTCTTGCAGGTTTTCTCTGCATTATCCAAATTGCTAGGAACTTCAAGAAAAATCCTAAATTCCTTCCTCCATCTTTCTTATTCCCTTAAATTCCTCAGACTTCTAAGATATCCTTGATCTCATCCTTGGGCTCTTCTGCTGGCCCATCCCTTGGTTCAGACAACTCTGAAAAGCAGCCCAGGGGAGGGCTGGTGGCAGCCTCTCGCTCACCAGCTCGGTGGGACACCCCAACAACTTGAATTCCCTGGTTCTGTGCAGGCTGACAGCCTTGCCTTTCCCACCCACCACATCCTCAACACACTAATTCTACATCTCTTCCTCCTCTTTCCCTATTTTTTTCTTTTTCCTCAGATGCAATTTGCAACTCTCCATGTGGTTCCACTCCTCACAATATCATCCTCTCTGCATTCCCCTTTGCTCTCTAGATGCCCCATCCCCCAAAGCACCCTGTTCTTCCAACAGATCTTAATTACACACCTACCGTGTGCTAGATACTGTGCTAGGCACAGGAAACACAAAAATGGGGGGTAGGTTTCCTGGGGACACTCCTGGAGCACCTTGGTCTGTTCTCCCAAAAGTCCCTCATCTCCTGGGGGGTCCTGAAAGTACTTTGTAAACTGTAAAGGGCCCAACACTGTTGACTATTATTGCTACTGCTTTCAGGGAAAAACTGGGAAATTCTTCGCCCTGTAGAATCAAGAGGGGACCTCAGCCATGAGCTTCATAGTGGCTGATTAGGATCTGAGTTAGGCAGGAGGTGTAGGGTGTACCTCCCACCCCCCATCAGTTCTCTATCCTTTCACTCCAGGCCTCTTTGGCTCCATAATTGGGAGAGTTTGTAAATAAAGAAGGCCAGGAGGGCTGCCTGGGACTAGGGCAGTGGGGGAAAGGGCTCTAGAGAGAATCTATAGCCTGCAAAGAGATTCCCGCAGTGTGTGTACACATTCTGCCCCTGGCTAGTTCTCCCCACTCCCCGCTAACAGCAAGGCTGGAAAGGCAAAGGGAAAAGAAGGAAAGTGGTCTCCTGCCCACTCCTCTATTTCTCCACATCCCAGAGCCTATTATTCTAGCCCCGAGGCTTCCTTTTACACTCCTCCTCCCCCCATTAAGCATGCATGGCGACTTGTGGACATCAACACAGACTGACACACAGACATCCAGATGTACTTACCCCCATCTGCAGCCAGGATCCAAAGCACCTCTAGCAGGAGGGTGAAGAACAACATGGTATCCTCCGAAGGAGCACAAGGTACTGGGAATTTGGGGACTAGAGGACTAGGGCAGGCAGAGAGAGAGAGAGAGAGGGAGGGAGGGAGGGAGGGAGGGAGGGAGAGAGGGAGAAGAGTTTCCTGGAGTTGAGTGTATTTATCTTTTTCTCTTGCTGTTTCTATGTCTCTGCGGGCTTCCAGAGGATTTGATTTTCCTAGGGTACCGTGAGTTTCTGGGTCCCCATACAAAACTCTTGCTGCCGCTCTCTCCGTCCTCTCTTTTTTATTTCCCTCTGCAGTCTTCACTCCATTTGCTGGGCAGCGACTTCACAATTGCCTCCTGCTTTTAAGGTGGCTCTGGAAGGGTGTACGTGGGGAGGGGAGGCTGCCTGGGTTGCTGGTGAACAGCTCCTTAAATAGCCGATTAGGCATGCAGGATGGCCCTGCTCAGAGCCAAGCGCGGCGGGTTTCACAGGAGCCCTGGCCCTGGCTCAGGAGCCCAGCTAGGGTGAGCTCTTCCTTCCTCTGCTATTCACACAGACACTGTTCAGATGGGTGTCCCCTGGGGCGGGCAGGGGCAGGGAAGGAGGGCTTTGGGGTTCAATCCAGTGCCCTCAGGGGGGCACTGGGTTCTCATTCCCCGTCTGGCTTCTTCTCTGAGGAGCAACTCCTTGGGTGGTATGGGGCAGATGGTGGGAAGACCTGTTCCCAGTCCCCTGCAGAATTTGAGCTGCCCTGGAATAGGAAATAGATAACAAGAAGGAGTTGGGAGACTCAGGGTGCAGCTGGAGAGTAGGAAGTCAAAGACTAAAACCTGGGCCGTGGAAAATAAAGAAGAGAAGTGAGGCAAAGAGAACTTGTTTGGAACAATCTCTTTCTCCTGTGCCTGTCACCACCCGCTTCCCACGGTGAGGCCTGGGTCCACGTGCCTGTGTGGCCTGGGTGGGGGGAGGTGTGTTTGCTGTATAAAGCCCATTTGTATGCCCAGCGGGGGAGGGGCTGCAGCAGCACCATGGAGAGACAGCGGCTCTAACTGCCAGATCCAGCCACCTCCCTCCCCAGGGAGCCCAGATCTAGGGCGGCTTTTGTCACTGAAGAGGACATGGACCCCTGGCAGGGAGGCCAGCGCGGAGGAGAGATGGGGAGACCTTAGAAACAATCACCACTACCACCAAAAAAAGGCGAACTCCAGAGAAGGGGGGGGGGAGCAGAGAGAGGCCATGTGATCCAGTTGGAAGAGGGTTCCAGGGTCTTCCCTTCTGCCCAACAAAGGGCCGAGGCGGGACTTGTGGGACTGAGTGAAACCTGCCACCCAGAGCCCGGAGTGGAGCAGAGAGGCTGCTGCGTCTCAGGAATGTGGGCTGGTGCTTGTTCCTCCACGGGACTGGAAATCCCAATCGGAATGTACATCCTACATCCCTCATTAGAGAATGTGAAACCCGCAGATAATTTCAAGCCAGACATTGAAACCTCTTTCTCCTCCATACCCTTCACTAGCATCACCAGCCAGGAAGATGCACCTGACTGAGCTCCTCTGCCCTTCTTGCTCCTGCCAAGTAGCAATAAATAGCCCAAACAAAGAGAGCAGAAGCTAAACTGGGGAGCAAGATGAAAGCCAAATGAACAGAATAATGCATGTGCTGGATCATCAGCGCCTGCGGAGGTGGGAGGCGCCATGCCTTTCTGTCCCCTGTGATTGATCTGCAAAGCAAAGCTATTTTGCAGATGTCGTTTCCTTTTTAATTCTCTCATCACCCTCCAATTATTTTTCCCTTACAGGAAAGTTTATGTTTTGAGGTTCCCCAAAGCCCCACCCATCCCATCTAAGAAGAATAAAAGGCTTAAAGTGTAAATCAGACTTCCTGGGAATCAGGATAGTCAACAGAGAGAAAGAGAAAAAAGAAAGAAAGCAGAGACATCTTTTGTGTGATAGGAAAGAAGAGGCCCGGGCAGAATGACCTCTGCCAGGACAGAGTTTCCTTGGAGCCTCTGGGACTGCGATTCAGCCTTCCAGGGCAGGTAGTGTGTCTTGCTAGGCGCCACCTCCTGGTTGTCTATGAATTTTTTGATTTTCAAAATTTTAGCTTAAAATGTTTTGTGTGTCATTCCTTCTGGGAAGTGTTTCACTGCTGATGGGCTTTGTGATTTTGCCTACACAATTGAACACTGTTTCACAAAGATGTCTTAGCCCCAAATCAGCACCTTCCCACTTCTGAGTGAGCAGTCCCTCCAAGCCCTTGGGCTTCCCAAATGGACAAAGGCCCTGGTTTCTAGGAGAAAGGGAGAAAGGAGGTGAACACCGCCCTTTTGATCTTTGGCTCTATTGTGGATATTTCTATTGTCGCCAGGCTGATTTGGAATAGGTTGTCAAGAGGACCCTTATATGTTAAAAAAAAAAAAAAAAAAAAAGTCACTCCCTCCCCCCAACACAGACACACACACTCCCTCCACTTTGGTTGCTACTCAAACTGGCACTTTGGTTGCAATTCCTACATCTCCCCCTCCAGTCCATTCCTCACCTCAGGGTTGGCTAAAACTCTGCTAAAACCAAGGCATTCTGCTGCCTTCTGGCGCCATCTCCTGTCCTTTCAAGTGCAGTGAAACAAGAACAGGTTAGAGAATCAAAAGTGTCCAAGTGTGTTGGCTTTTTCGTTTGTTTTTTCTTAGAAGGTTTTTTTTTTTTGTGAAGAAGACTAGCCCTGAGCTAACATCCCTTGCCAATCCTCCTCTTTTTGCTGAGGAAGATTGGCCCTGGGCTAACATCCATGCCCATTTTCCTCTACTTTATATGGGATGCCGCCACAGCACGGCTTGATAAGTAGGTCCACGCCTGGGATCCAAACCTGTGAACCCCAGATTGGTGAAGCGGAGCGCATGGACTTAACGGCTACACCACCGGGCTGGCTCCTAAAAGGTCCTTTTTAAAAAGGATATTTAAACTCACTAAATATCCTAAATAGTCTAAAAAACCTTACAGGAATCTGCTAAGTGTTCTGAGTTTCTGTGTGGGCTGTGGGTGAGTTCAATGAGGGAGGGAGGCAGATCAAAAGGAAAGAAGAATGGTCAGCACAGGAACTTACTCACGAAGTACAGGTGGTAACTAATTGCTGAGAAGAAACAATCAATGAGGACACAGAATTAGATGGAATTTGATTGCCTAAAAAGCAAGCAACTTTGTGTCATGAAATAATGTAGGCCTAGAGATATTCTAACTTGATAGGTCATCACACAAAAGCCTTCAAAAATCCAAGTCAAAGTAATTTGGGGGTGGGGGTAGTCAGAACTCTTTGGATCATTTCTCAGTTCCCATTGCACGACAGATGCAGTATGAGAATCTTGTAGACAGAGGATAGGTAAAAGTTTGTGGTCTGAAATGTTGCAACTTTAATTAAAAAGGAGTAATTTTGTGTCATGCATTGATTTCATGCCCAGAACACTGCCTGGTACATAAATATTTGCTGATCGAATGAATGAATCTAGTCATTGGAACATTTATTTACTTTCTTTCTGCCTTTGGTATTTCACAGAATTTTAGACCAGGAGGGTCCTCAGGCATCATTCCTGTTATACCTGTTATTCCTGATATACCCTGTAAAAACTGAGTTTTGAGGGATTTAGGGATTCTCCTGTGCTTAGTCATATAGCTGCTAAGCTAAACCAGAACAAGGACACAGACGCCATTGGACATTCTTCTACACCACTGGTTCTCAAATGTCGGTGTGCAACAGAATCACCTAGAAATCTCGATAAAATACAGATCTCTGGGCCTCCCCCCACAGTTTCTGATTCTATAGGTCTGGGGTATGTCCAAAGATTTGCAGTTCTTACAGGCCCCCCGGGTGATTGGTGGTCTAGTGGTTAAGATTTGTTGCCTTCACTGCTGAGGCCCAGGTTCATTTCCTAGTGGGGGAACCACGTCATCTGTCTGTCAGTTGTCATGCTGTGGTGGCTGTGTGTGGCTGTGATGCTGAAAGCTGTGCCTCTGGGATTTCAAATACCAGCAGGATCACCCATGGTAAACAGGTTTCAGCAGAGCTTCCAGACCAAGACAGACTAGGAAGAAGGACGTGGCCATCCACTTCCGAAAAAAATTGGCCATGAAAACCCTATGAATAGCAGCAGAGCATTGTCTAAGGTAGTGCCAGAAAATGAGAGGATGGTGCCAAAAGGCCGCGCAGGTTCCATTCTGCTGTACACAGGGTGGCTAGGAGTCGGAATAGACTCAACAGCACTGACAACAACAACAACCCCAGGTGATACTGATGCCACTGGTCTGAGGGACCACACTTGAGAATCAATGCCCTACACCAACTGGAGAAGCAGAGGTAGTAAGGAGTTTGCCATTCTTTGTAGGGATTCCAGCCATCTAGAATTGTTCTTTGCAGTCACCTCTGTAGAGGTTAGCAACAATTCCTTCACTAGTTTACAAATGTATATTGAGTACTTCTAGGTACTAGGCACCATGCCAGGCCATAGAAATAAAAAATTGAGACGACATAATCCCTGCCCTCAAGACCTTCACAATCTCTTAGGGGATGCAGATACCTTACCCAATTACTAGAATACAACATGAGACGTTCTAAATGGTGGTAGAGCAAAGTGTTATGGGAACCAAGGGAAGTGGGCAATTAGCAGTGAGATTTTCTTTACCTGCTATCAACAATCATTCCACAGGATGGGAGGATAACCAGGTCGTATAGTTATGCGTAAGAACATAAAAATTGCCACTCCAATGCAGGCAGACCCATGCTTCACTGTTTCTGAGAGTGACACCAAAGGATAGGTTATATTGAAGCAGGATTCTCCTTAATATATTTAATAAACTGCTTCCTCTGAAAGAAGTAAGGAAAAAGGATGGTGCCCTGGAATTGTAATTATTTGTTCCATCTGCTCTGGTAGCACTTCATTCTGCCTGTCTTCTCTTTTTTCTTCTTACTCTCTACCATTCGTCTAACTCAAATGAGGGTTGTGTACCAAGCCAAGCAAAAAACATGAACACTTCTACCACTTCCCTTCAATGGTGAGAAGGTTCCAGTTAAAGAGAATTTTTTCTGTTTCTGAAAGAACTGTTATGTCTGAATCGCCATAGGAATAGGAATCAGAGGATAATACAGCAAAATCTCGTGACAATGGGTAGCCTATTACTGGTTTAATCATCCCCCAAATAAGAAGTCTGTTCTCAGATGATTGTGACAAATGATTTGGACTTCTGTGAAACCTCATAGTGAAAGGGCTTGCTGTGCTTTCATTGACATTTTCTTTGCTTCAAGATATCTATACATTTTTAAAAAAGACACGAGTGTTAAAGGGTAAAGTGAGTTGGCTGAGGTCACATAGAAATATTAATAGACAAAGAATCAGGCTTTGACCGACCTCTTACTCAAAATATGTTGATACTTAAAAAACAAAAACCTTTAAAGAAAATAGAAGACATTTCTGGCTCTGGCTGCTGCTGCCTCAGTTAATTCCCCGTAGTAGGTGGGGCAGCATTGCTCTGAGGAGGAGATCCAAACACAAAACCAACAACTCTTTTTTTTTTTTATTAACCTTCGGGTCATTTCTAAGGCAACATCTGCAGAAGTGCAATGCAGTTGTTTGTTAATGAGCTCCTAGAGCCTGCATTCTCCCCATTTTCCTACCATCCAATAAGCTCATTATTTCATGTTTTACATATTTTATTTAATTAGTACTATCACAGGACGGTTACAAATCCATGCACTTTGGGAAGAATTGACTTTTTTGCTCCTTTTTAAAAAAATAAAAAGGAAATAGTTACTTGGAGTTGGCTTCAGAATGTGAGAGAACCTCAGATCTTAGCAATGGTTCAT